CAGAGGAGCTCCTGTCAGGTATAGAGAGGAATAAATCTTTACAAAATTAAAACTAAATTGATTGATTTCTTGAATGTGTTTCCTGAGGATTTTCTACAACAGCAATCACTGTCTAAATCCATGTCTGTATTAGCGCTAATTAAATTAAATAACTGGAGAAAATGAAAGTGCTTTGATGTTTGAGTGTTCGGGTATTGTTTAAAGGATTTGATTCAGATGCAAGTGGCTTGTTCTTTGAAGATAAGGAACAAAGCCACAGTGCTGTAGTGTGGGTGGTTTCTTTACTTCTTTTAGGTAATTGCTTATTGCAGTGTTATAAGTTCAAGGGCATATAACATGTGTTTTTATCTTGAGCTGCTACATTATTACTTCACAAATATTTAAGATGATCAATTTTTACCAAGGGAACTCATCAAAAATAGAATGTAAAATTAATAAACTGATTACATTTAATATGTCCAGTTTATTAGGAACAGAGAAGAGTGACTGAAAAACCAATAGCTCAAATACTAGAGATTTCTACCACCCATTAATATAGTTATAGTTTTCACATTGCTGTGGTTTGTATTTGACAGTTATGTGTTTCTGTGTACAGTGATTAGAAAAAAAAGCAGCTGTTTTTCAGAGTAGAGTGAGGAATGATCAAATTACTTTACATGAGAATCATTCATGAGATCAATTAATTAAAATCATTAAGTTCCAGATTGCAGAAATTACAGATTTTTTAAAGAAGTTTTGGTTTTTTGCTTTCATCAGACAGACTGAATCATGCTCTTATTACTCCAAGGAAGAGATTACATCCCAAATGAAGACCTGTCAAGGTGTATTAGTTCCACTTTGATGTTGTAGTTTTTGATAATTATAGTTCATTTTAGAAATATCATTCTGGTTTATCAGACATGAAAACAAAGGAATATTGAATTGCATGTTATTATTTAATATATGAGAGTATCCTGTGTTTAATTAGATTATTGGAATAGGTTATACTGTAGGTAGTTGTCAAAGAAAGGAAAGAGAGAAAAAATGTGTAGCCCTATTTTCTATTTTAGCATCTTTTTTCATGAAGCAGCTGAAAAAATTGAAAGCAATAAAATATGCTGTTATTTGAATTGGACTGAACAGAATCACATACAATTTGCTCTTTTTAGGTACCCTGTTTAAAACCTATGTTTTAAATAATATTTGGTTCAGCTTATGCTGCTATATGACAGTCCTTCTGAATTACAAGCACCTGAGTTAGAATTCCGCAGCATGTTAACAATTGGGTATGCTACAGCATAAACACAAACATGTTAGATCATAAATAAAAAATAAGTTCAGTTGCCTTCATCTACCCTACTAAATTAAAGGCAGTTGACTCCTAGTAGTATTGATAGACTGAAAATCAAAACCATAATGCAGAGGAGCTAGTTAGGAGATTTTAAAATGCCGCATACCATCAGTGGGTAGGGAAATAGAGGGAGGGATTTAGAATAACATCACACTATGGAGCTGGCAGAACCACATGAACACATGACAGTAAATTTACAAAGCTCTTTTGCAGCAGTACTTGAAATAAAATTAGTGCTGGCTGTGAACTAGTAGTGTAAATAAAAAGTTAAAGAATAAAAAATAAAGTCAGGATTTCTTTCATACTTTTAAGATTTGATTGTGCTTTATGCTTTCACACACAATTTCATTGCATAGTTTCCGGAACAGATTCTTGTTTATGGATTTTATTATTTTAATCTATATTCATTGGCTGTTGAAAATTTTGCCATACTTCATTTATGCACTTCACTAAGTAAGAGGTTGTCTATTGATTCTGCTACAACCACCCAGCTTGCTTAATGCAGATTCTTGGAATTGCACTAAACTTTCAGTATAAATGATTGTTGTCGTTTTATTGATCAACACATCAGGAATGTCACGTAAAATTCTTTAATTCTTGAGATGGATAGGGAGAGCACAAAATCTAGCATTCAAGTCAGTGATGCTTATGCTCAGGGTCACACGGAATTCTGACTTCTCTCCACAATTAAATATTTTATTTTTGTAGAATATATTTAAGCTGCCTTATTTACAATGCCTTCACCAACAACCATAATATATGCTGGAAATGCTTGCTGTTTATCAATTAAAGGTTGTCCCAGAGGGTAGTCTTTATCAAAATGTTCAGGCACCTCTGCTTGCAACTGCACAATAGTTATACAAACCAAGTAGCATACCAAGAACATTATTTAAGCATATTGTACCAGAGGTTTAATTCAGCAAAATATTTCTTGTTTTCACTTCAGTTTGTCCAGTGTGTTTTATGGACATTGTTTTGTAATTGAATTTCTTTCTAATTCATTTGGTAATAAGGAAAATGTTCACTCATTTCTCTGTTAAGTCATGGGAGACTTCAACTACCCTGACATCTCATTGGAAGAGCACTCGGCCAAATCTGACTGGTCGTGAAGCTTCCTCACTTGCACTGACAAGCTCTATCCAACTCAAGAAGTCTACAGGCCGACAAGAGGTAAGGTGCTGCTGGATCTGGTTCTGGCCAGAGGGGATGATCTAGTGAGCAGCCTGAGGATCAAAGGGAAGCTAGGTGACAGTGATCATGAGTTGATCACTTTCTGTATCCATTGCAAAGCTGGCAAATCAGTCAGCAATGCAGAAATCCTTGACTTTAGGAAAGCTGACTTTCACAAGCTCAGAAGATTGGTTGTCAAGACCCAGAGAGATCACGACCTGACAGGGAGGGGAGTCCATTATGAGCAGTCACTCCTTAAGGACACGATCCTAAAAGCACAAAGGAAGTCCATTCCAGCCCGTAGGAAAGGTAGCAAAAGGGCTGGGAAACCCCTTGGCTCAATAGGGAACTAATGGATCTTCTGTATCTGAAAAGAGAAGCTCACAAGGGATGGAAGTCAGGAAATACCACTAAGGAGGATTATGCAGCACTGGCCCACACCTCTAGGGAGCACACCAGAAAAGCCAAGGCTGAAACTGAACTCAAACTTGCTACAGGATCAAGAACAAGAACAAGTCCTTCTTCAGATACATGGGAAGTCAGGGAAAAAAATGGGGCAACATTGGACCCCTGCTGAGCCAAATGGGGCAGTTGACAACCAGCACCCAGGAAAAAACTAATCTCCTCAATAATTACTTTGTGTTGGTTTTCCACCAGCCCAAGGGGATCACCCTGCCTGACAGGACCCAGTGATTACCAGGGTAAGTCCAATCATATGCATATAATTAGTAGAGCTCTTGTAAGGGAACAGCTTGAGAGGCTGGACATCCTCAAGTCAACTGGCCCAGATGGAATGCACCCAAGAATGCTAAAATAGTTGGCTGACATTGGAGCACAGCCAATGGCCAGGATATTTGAGAACTCATGGTGCTTGGGAGAGGTTCTAGAAGACTGAAAGAGGGCCAGTGTGTTAGAAGGAAGATCCAGGGAACTACAGGCCAATCAGTTTGACCTCAATCCCTGGAAAGATCTTGAGAAAAATCATCAAAGAAAACATTAACAACAGGCAAACAGAAGGCAACATTCTGAGAGAGCGCCAACATGGTTTTGTTGCAGGTAGGTCTTGCCTGACCAACCTCATTTCCTTCTATGACCAGGTGATGCATCACATGGACAAGGGAGAAGAGGTTGATGTCATATACTTGGATTTCAAAAAAGCATTTGTCTTGGTCTCCCATGATCTCCTCATGGTAAAGTTGGGGAACTGCGGCCTTGACAACCTTACAGTCCAATGGCTGGGGAACTGTTTCCACAGTCAGACCCAGAGAGTAATAGTCAATGGAACTGAGTCAACATGGTGCATGGTGACCAATGGTGTCCCCCAGGGTTTGGTACTCTGACCAGTACTTTTTAATATATTCATAATAATCTGTATTTGGGTGTCAGAAGCGGACTGGCTAAATTTGAAGATGACACCAAGTCACACTAGAAGGTAGGCTGGGGATTCAGGATGACCTGGACAGGCTCACAAGGTGGGCGGATCAAAACCTGATTACATTCAACACGGAGAAATGCAAGGTGCTCCACCTCAGGAGGAAGAACCCACATCATACTTATAGGCTCGGCAGTGCTATATTCACTAGTACCATGACCGAAAGAGACTTGAGGGTCATGATGATCACAAGATAAATATGAGCCACCAATGCAATGCTGCAGCAAATAAATATATATGCTGCAAAGCAAATAAAACTCTGGCTTGCATCTACTGATGCATCTGAAGCAAGACCCAAGAAGTCATCCTTTCACTTTACCCGGCCTTGGTGACGCTGCAGCTGGAGTACTGCATCCAATTCTGGGTTCCACACTTTAGAAAGGATGTGAAGATGCTTAAGAGAGTTCAAAGGAGAGCCACGCATATGATTAGAGGTCAAGAGAGCAGGCCATATCAGGAGAGGCTGAGATGCATGGGATTCTTCAGCCTGGAGCAGAGAAGGCTTGGGGGACTTGGTGGCATCCTATAAGTATAAAAGGGGTGTGCATCAGGAACTGGAAAAAATCTGTTCACCAGGGCACCCCAAGGGAAGGGAAGGTCTAACAGTCACAAACTGCTGGAAGACCCTTTTAGACTGGACATACGGAAAAACTTACTTTCCAAGTCTCCAGAGTCTGGAGTAGACTCCCCCAGAAGTAGTGCAAGCACCTACTCTGGATACATTCAAGAAACGCCTGGATGCTTACCTTGCTGGGGTCATCTCACCCCAGCTGACTTCCTTGGGCAGGGGCCTGGACCTGATGATCTCACGAGGTCCCTTCCAGCCCTAACGTCTATGAAATCTATGTTAACTAAGCTAGATAAAATGCTTGTAATTTACCTAAAACTAAATTCTAGAACTTAGAAATTGTTGTGGATTTCTTTCAGCAAAAAATTTAAAAGACAAGTTTTATTTAAAACCACATACTTTCTAGGAAAATACATTTACGGAATACACTGTTACCCAAAAATGCTTTAAGAAAAGTTAAATT